TTGCCAAGAGTGCAATAAGAGTTTAAGATGTAAGGGCGGTAACACGAGCAATTTGTCTAAACATTTAGCAACACATTCAGACGGAGAAATGCACCGGGTTCGACTGTCTTTCTAGCAGCTCTGTAGCCCCATCCACAAATAACTTTTCCACGTCAGGTGTTATGTATGCTAGCAGCAACACACAGAGTTAACTCAATTATACAAACATGGGTTAATGATTAGAGGAAACTGAGTTATTTATTTTCTTAAAGTTTCAGCTATTCTGTTTACAATTATGTAGTCACATTATACGATTTGTTAAAACATTGTTGTTTCATTTGTTTTCTTTTGAAATATTATTTATTTTATTTAAATATTATTTATTTTATTTAAATAAAAAGCTATGTTAATTTTGTTCACAATGTGTTTAGTTAATTTAATAATATATGTATTTTTGAATCAAGTATTCATCTTTATTGTCTTCATTGTTAGTTTCCACATGCCTAAAACAACCTCAAGCTAAATATAAAAGTTGACGGCTAAATAAGAGCGTTTGAGAAATTGTGCAAGGCATAATAGTCCGAATAGTCGATTAATCGTTTAATTAATCGATAGATTAATCGATTATCAAATTAGTCGTTTGTTGCAGCCCTATTACTGAGTGAAGTCCAATAGTCTCCGGTGAGCGCAACTGTGGAAGTCTTTCTTAAATCCTCCTCTACTTTCGCTTTTTGGACTTCATACAAGTTGTGTATTTTCGACACAGTGGTGGCTCTGGAAGGCAATTCATAAGTGCAGTCGTTGGATGCGACCTGAATTATATCACGCAGCCCCTCGTCATCCACAATGTTAATTGGCCTGCAAGCTGTCACCAACCATTTAGCGATCTTTGTTGAAAGTTTGCTGCTCGTAGACGTGTCCAGGCGTCTCCCCGCACACTTTCAAGTGTGGTCTGCCGCAAGCGGGCGGCAGGAGGCGGGGCTGTCGGCATCAGCAGTGTGCTTGGATTGTATAGATGGTATTTTAAACTCGATGCGCTCTGAAACTACGGGGCGGCCGAGGACAAAAAATGCACATGCGTTAATGGCGTTAAAATAATTAGTAGCGTTATTTTTTTTTTGTGTTAGCGCATTATTAACGTTATTAATGGGGTGTCATCATATGCCGTTTCCATGGAAACGTATCCCTCGCTAAAAAACACGATGTTGTCATAACTCAAAGGAAAATGGTCCAAACTGCACCAGACTTCAGATGCCAGTTGATGGTCCGGCCAACACCTCAATATGACAATAGTGAGTTTTCCTCAAAAGCTGTTTCCATGGGAACGCATCCCTCGCGTGAAACACAGTTTTCTCATAACTCCATTGAACATGCTCCAAACGGCCCAAAGCTTCACAGGTTTGATAACCATGCAGCCCTCAACACATCTAGGCGTATTATGGGGTGTCATAAAATGCTGTTGCCATGGCGACAGATCACTCGCCATCGAACACAATGTTTATTGGATGTGTGTGTACAAAACACAACAAACTCTTACTGATATGTGATGGGTCCAGGCTCAAGGGCGTATGGCACTCTCAACTCTTTCAGGGACATGTCGGGGCCCTGCCTGCCAGTAGCTTTGCCGATATCTGTGTTGATAGGTAATAGATTAAGAGCGGTGAATCATAGAAACAGGAAGCGCTCAAAACGTTTGTGTGAGTGTATCTAATTTAGCAGATGATTCCATGTCAGCCACAGCTTGTTACAAAAAACATTACTGATAGTGTGTTTAACAAACTTAAACTAGCTTATTAAATGTCCGGTCTTTGGCAGGAAAAACATTTTTAATCAATGATTTAATCACTGAGCACAATCTCGATTTTATGTTTTTATACAGAAACTTGGATTGAACAAAATAACAGGTGCAGGCTGTTCTTATCGAATCAACCCCTCCCAACTTTAGTTTTAATGAGTCAGGAAAGAATGCATAAGAAAGGGGGTGGAGTTGCTATTCTGTTCAATGATTCCCTTCAATGCAGGAAGACATCGTATGGAAACTTTGATTCTTTTGAATATGTGGCCCTTCGGCTGAAATGCTCCCTCTCGAGCTCTGTTCCTAAATATCTATAGAGCCACCCAAATACTGTGCAGCTTTTTTGATGACTTTAACTGAACTGCTGTCTATAGTGTGTATTGACTTTGACCGTCTAGTCATTGTTGGTGATTTTAACATCCATGTTGACAACCCCCAGGACAGAGGGGCTAAAGAACTGTTTTGTGTTCGTGATAGCTATGGACTGACTCAGCATGTGACGGAGCCCACAGCACAATAAGGTGCACACTCTGGACTTAATTATCTCAAAGGGTCTGAATATCTCTAAGGTTGTGGTGACTGATGTTGCACTCTCTGACCATTCCTGTGTTTTCTTTGAGAGCTCTATTTCTGTTCACAAAAATGTTCAAAAAGAGGTAACCACAAAGCGATATTTAACTGAAAATACTAGGGAAATGTTTACTACTCAGAATTTCTCTTCCACACTTGCCCCTGCCAACATCTCATAAATGAGCTAGTAGATCATTTTACTTCAAAATTAAAATGTTATAGATGCCATTGCTCCAACTAAGTAAGGAAGTGTCTGCAAGAAATATCTCCATGAAGAGAAACTCATGACCGTGAAAACAGAAAAAAGAGAATGTTCGAAAAATGACGCAGGTGGCGAAAACAATCTCCAGGTTCACTTTGAAATCTATAAAGAGAGACTTGGCCTTTATAATTTGGAATTGAAAACGCACGACAATCGTTCTTCTCTGACATCATTACCAAAAACAAAAACAACGCACGTGCCTTGTTTGCTACCACGTCGACAGACTAACTAACCCCCAGTGTCAGTAGCCTCTGAATTTCTATCCACCAGGGCGTGCAATGATTTTGCCTCCTTTTTCACTGACAAAATTCAGAAAATCAGACAAGCATCAGTGCCTCTGCATCAGGAACAGCAAATGTGTTGTCCCTATCTCCACTTAACATCAATTCAGACATCATGACACAATTCCATCAGATTAATGATAAAACCTAGAGGACATTATTCAACTTCTGAAATCCTCCTCTTGCTGCCTTGATATTATTCCAACAGGATTTTTCAAAGATGTTTTGCCTTGCATGGCCTCAGATCTACTTCATATAGTAAACAAATCTCTTCACTCAGGTATTTTTCCACAGGCCCTGAAAACTGCAGTCATTAAACCGCTCTTAAAAAATAATAATCTAGATGCTTCAGTAATGAACAATTACAAGGCCCATATCAAACCTCCCATTTCTAGGTAAAATCATTGAAAAAGTTGTTTTTCAACAGTTGAGTAATTCTTGCATTTAAATAACTGTTTTAATGTGTTCCAGTCGGCTTTCGTCCAAACCACAGCACTGAGACTGCTCTTGTAAAGGTCTTTAATGACATCCCACTTAAACACAGACAGTGGCAGAACTTCAGTGTTAGTATTATTAGATCTCAGTGCTGCGTTTGACACTGTTGACCACAGCATATTACTAGACCGACTGGAGAACTGGGTGGGACTTTCGGAAACAGTTCTGAATTGGTTTGAATCCTACTTAAAGGACAGAAACAACTTTGTTTCTATAGGTAAATACACATCTGAGTTGACAAATATGACATGTGGGGTTCCTCAAGGCTCCATCTTGGGGCCTCTTCTCTTTAACATCTACAATACCACTGGCTCAGATAATGAAGAAACAACAAAATAAGTTACCATAGCTATGCAGGATGACACACAAATTTACGTAACAATTTCACCAGGAGACTATGCTCCAATTCAAACACTGAGTAAGTGCATTGACACAAATCAATGACTGGATGTGTCAGAACTTTCTCCAATTAAACAAAGATAAAACTGAGGTATGGTTTTGGAGCCAAGGCAGAACGTATAAAAGTTAGCGCTGAAGCTTCAGTGTGCAATGTTCAAAACAACAGATAAAGCCAGAAATCTAGGTGTAGTCATGGACTCTGACCTGAGTTTCAACAGTCACATTAAAACAGTTACTAAATCAGCCTACTATCACCTAAAGAATATATCTAGGATTATAAAAGACTAATGTCACAGCAGGATTTGGAAAAACTTGTCCATGCTTTTATCTTCAGTAGACTCGACTACTGCAATGGTGACTTCACAGGTCTCCACTAAAAAATCTATTAGGAAGCTGCAGCTAATTCAGAACGCTGCTGCTCGAGTCCTCACTAACACTAAGAAAGTGGATCACATCACTCCAGTTCTGAAGTCTTACACTGGCTTCCTGTGTGGTCAAAGAATAGATTTCAAAATACTGCTGCTGGTTTATAAAGCACTGAATGGTTTAGGGCCCAAAATACATTTCTGACCTCCTGCTAAATTATGAACCATCCAGATCTCTCAGGTCTTCAGGGACTGGTCAGCTTTCTGTCCCCAGAGTCAGAACTAAACATGGTAAAGCAGCGTTCAGTTATTATGCTCCAATATCTGGAACAAACTCCCAGAAACCTGCAGGTCCGCTGCAACTCTGACTACTTTTAAATCCAGGCTGAAGACTTTTCTTTTTTGTCGCTGCTTTTAATTGAACTATTCATATCTTAGACTGCACTGTAACTTTTATCCATGTACTTTTTCTTTTAATGTTTAATTGCACTGTAACTTTTATCCATGTATTTTTTCTTTTAATGTTTATTTTATTAGCTTTTCTTTTTAATGACTGATTTTAAATGCCATTTTCTTAATCCTCTTTCATTTTTTGTAAAGCACTTGAATTGCCTTGTGTTGGAAAGTGCTATATAATAAACTTGCCTTGCCTTGCCTTGCCTTATGATACTGCTGTAACTCCTATGTACATTGTCCGATCGGCCTGAAACTTCACCACGTTTAGCAACGGGTCCGGTCCGTAAAACACCTGCGTGACACGTCAACGACAGCCTGCGGAGCGTCGAAGACCCGCTCAACGCTGCTTTAATTATTATTGGAATTCAATTATTAATCAGGGCTGATGGGACACTCACCACTTGATGCGGCACTGGGTCCAGGACCGGGTCTCCACCTGCTGGCTGGTCTCCTTCCAGGGCAGGTTCTTACACAGCTGGTCTCTGGTTAAACTAGGACCTTCAGAATCAGCAGGCCCCCCAGCCAGAGCCTCCAGGTGAGCCTTCAGTGCCCGCTTCAACCTGAACTCCTCCTCTACGCTCCACACACCCCGTCCTGCAGCTGGACACACCACCACACACACACAGACACACACAGTTAGTAAACAGTGTGCGTGTTCCAACAGAAACTCCATAACCGGGCCAGGACTGACCGATGTGAGCAAAGCGTTTCTGTAAGGAGTACGCGCTGCGGTCCATCTTCTCGGCGATCTTTGACCAGTCGTTCCCGTGCAGAGTCTGAAGCTTCATCAAAGAGTGCACCTCCTCCTTCGAGAACCTGAGGACACACACACACACACACACACCTCTTTTTAAAAATGTAACTCAATGGGAGGAACCTTCAAATCCTCTTTTAACTAGAGATGCTCCGATCGCAGATTTTGGGGCTGATCGCCGGAATCAGTATCGGCCGATACCGATCGCCGATCCGATCGAGTGAGCAGGCGGGATCTTCCATTTTAAAGTGATGTTTAAAACTCAGTTAATGGGGCTCATTCACTGGCGCTTCCACAAACAGCCAACATAATTATTACATTCAAATTAAGTACATTATTCAAGTTTACATTAACTAATAACTTTGGATAATATATCCATAGATTGCATATAAATATATAATAATAACACGGGAGAAATGAGCGGAATTGCGCTCTCGTTTCCTCTCTCCCCCTCTCTCTCTTCTGACAGCCCGTATCTCGTGCAGCTCACTGATCCAGTAGTGACTTGACAGTGAAGAATAAATATATTTATAATTAGTTTAGGTTGTTCCAAAGGTAGATAAAATAGCTAGACTACGTGTGTTAGGTCTAACTTGAAGTGTGTGTCACCAGTCAGTCACCGCGGGCAGAGATCCGGGAGAGCTTTCTGACGGAAACTCTGTAGCATACATTATATATTTACTATTTAGAGCAATAAAAGTAACTATTCTTAACACAGCATTGCAGAAATATAATTAAGACCTGAGAAAGCATGAATTGACAACTGTTTATTTATCGGAAGGCAACGAACATATCCAACATTCCATTCTCAGGGCATGTAGATTTTGAAGAAACTAATAATAATAGCCTATGCTCGGCTAAAGTGCAGTAAGCCTATAGCAAATATGTTAGCCTTCCTATGGAATAAAAGCTAAATGTGCACTGCTCAACACTTTTTTCAAATCAAAAGAAACCATTATAGCCTATATAAAGGCAATACAAATCAATGCCAATAGAAGGAACAAAAAATACTTTTCAATAGACGGAACAAAATACAGGGCCTTTCTAAAAATAAGCCTACTTCAAATGTAGACAATATTTAAATGCAGTGGCGGCCGGCCCATAGGGGTGCCGCCCCACCTCTTCCACATACAAAAAAAATATGAAAACTATTAAATTAAAAAAAATTATAAAAAAAAATATATTTTATATTTTTATTTTTAATGAACAAGGTAAATATCATACAATTGGTATCAGTAAAATGTATAATCTACATGTCTAAAGTTACTGATAAGTCACATGTTTCCTGCCTGGCCTTGCCCGTGGCATTAGTTTATCATTACCGGGCGCCGTGCAAGGAGCCCCCGAACCAAACAGCAGCAACCAGCACGTTGCAAAAGTCTCAATAGTAAACTGTGCCGCCGAAACATAATTTCAGCCAATCAGCGGCGTCAAATATTTTGGTCATGAGGGCGCTCACATTGGCGCCCAAGTTGCTTACGTGCGTGAGTTGTTTTTTAGACTTGTGAGTGACCAAGGTGACGCAGTAGTTGGATGAGAATGGCTTCGTGTGCAGGTGGAGTCGCCGGACCTCGGTCCCCGCCCAATTCCGTTCAAGAGTTAATCTCCAATCCTTTCGAAAGGAGAAGTTTGGGAGATAAACTGTTGCTTTAAAGACCTTGGACCGGACCAACCCGATTTGTATATATCGCAGCAAGCTCGTGAAAAAGACAAAACGTATCAACGAGGCTTCTCACGTAGCTGGTACACCAGAAAGGCATGGCTAGCTGGATGCAAACAGGTAAATGCTGTCTTTTGTTTCCCATGCTTGCTCTTCAAACAGCCGGGGACAGATACGATCTGTTCAGAAACTAGACAAAAGTTAAACAAGTACAAACCACAGACTGTCTGTGTCATGGAGAATACAGTCACTGGTTTATTTATGTCTGTATAGGCCGTTGTTGTGAGTGTGGACGGTCGGAACATATATAACGTTAGCTTAGCCAAGCTCCATTCAGAAAACAAGCATTCTAAAAGGGTTTTTCGCCTGCCGTCTGTCTGCAGACTTGTCAAAGCATTAATTCATGGTTTTTACTAACCGGTATCAGTATGTTGTTACGTCAGCATCATTTAGAAACGTGTATTACAATTTAATCACGGTAAAATATGTTCATTTTGTTGTAGTTGTAGCTCCCGAGCGCGTCTTGTTTGAATGATGCGAGTAAACACAGCTGGCAGCCGCGGTGAAACTCGAGCGACTACTAGAGCGATGTGATGGGAGCGTTTAGAGCGAAGCGAATATTCGCATCGCGTCCGGTCTGAACGCAGCATTAAAGCGAGCTCCGCGCTGCACTGGAAACGTGCCATTCCATCATCAGAAGTCCTAATTGAAGCGGTCATTTCTTCCAAAAAAATTGTTTTACTCACTATATCAACAGCCCCACCAAAAATATTTTCCACCAGCCGCCACTGTTTAAATGGAAACAACGAAAGACTATAGCCAAATAATATAAAACATTCCTCCTCAACATGTAGGCCTACATGTTTTTACAACCTGCCGTGGCTATTCTTTAGGCCTACTTCATGCGCATCAACGGCAAGTTCTTGTTGATGAATATAAGCATCTCCGCATTTTTGGAAGTCAGCCTGTTCCTCTTTTCATCTACAACATTCGCTGCTGTGCTGAAAAGTCGCTCGCTATCTACACTTGTGCACGGCGCGCTGAGGTAGGCTCGTGCAGCTTCTGCGAGTGCAGGGAAGCGGCTTTTATTGTCTTGCCAAAAAGCAAGCGGCTGTCCGCTTCGTGGGAGAAGTGGCTCTGACAAGTAGAGATTCATCTGCGATGCGTATTGACTGCTGTCGTTGCTGCCAGAACCATGTTCCACATCTCCATCCAGTAATTCCTCATACATAGCCTGCAAAGTGCCAGCTCGGGGTAATTTCTCCGGGGGCTCGGAGCCGCTCGCCTCCGAACGTTTCTCATGCTGTTCTGGGCTGGAGTCTGAACGGGTGGCCAGGATACCAAAAGCAGAACACGTAGCTGTGGCTTGAGTGCGTCTGGGAAATATCGGTCCCTTTTTAACCAAAAAACGAAACAGAAAACAACATTATTATTTATTTTATATATTTCTGCAGGTTAGGTTATTTGCAGGTTTATAGCCATATATAGCCTACATTGCACAACTCTTAAGTGTTTTTTATTAATTCTAAGAAAATTGAACTTATAGCATTCCTTTTACCAATAGCATACTTATTTTTTGTAATTTGGCCTGCATAACATACATATTTACGAAGTAGGCCTAGGTCTATTTGTTTTCTCACCTCGGATCCAGAAGTGTGGCAATTGCATACAGGCGCTGAGACCAAATGTCACCGAATCGCCTCTGGATCGCTTCCAACAAGGTGGCTTTTGACGTTTTCACGCCATGGTCCGTCTCAGCTGTTGTTGTCTCAAGGAGACGCGTAAGAGCTCTAATGGATGGTATAACATCTGCAGCAGATGCAGTTGATGAGCTGATCTGTTGCGTTAGCTCTTCGAATGGTGTGAGGAGGGAAGACATATTTTCAATCAATTTCCACTGATGGCTGGCGAGCGTTGAAGGCAGGTCATAGTCAGCTGCATAAGCAGATAGTGCCCGTTTCTGTTCAAGTAAACTCTGCAGCATATACAAAGTACTATTCCACCTTGTGGCTACATCTTGTTGTAGTCTTTTTGTAGGTTGGCCAAGTTGGTGCTGAATAGTTTGGAGTCGTGAGTATGCTAATGGTGAATGTTTAAAATGACCGACGATCCGTCTCCCTGCAGCTGTCATGTCAGAAATGCTTCGCTGTGACAATACTCCCCGTTCACAACGAGCTGGAGTGTGTGTGCCATACAGGGTAGGCTGGGTAAATCTGCATCCTTCATGGCCTTTACCATGTTTTTTGCGTTATCCCTTAGAATAACGTGGACCTTTTCTGTGGGAATTCCCCAGGATCGGAACATCTCACGGAATGCAGCAGCCAGAGCCTCCGCTGTGTGTGACCCTGGGAATTCTTGACACTGAAGAACAACGTTGTGTGGTTTGAAGTCCTGATCAATGAAGTGCGCAGTTAAACTTAACATGGACATGGGACATGCACTCGAGCTCCAGATGTCACTGGTAAAACTAACTGATGTGACATTGTCCTTTAAAATGCTGTCTATGTGTGTATACACTGTTTGGTATAATTGCGGCAGGCATACGTCTGTGAAATATTTACGCCCTGGAAGGATATAGCGTGGATCCAAGGTGGTAATAAGTTGTCGGAACCCGGCATCCTCCACTACAGAAAGAGGCTGCTGATCAAGTCCAATGAATTCCATTACCTTTGCTGTTATTTCTTTTGACTTCTTGCTGTCCCTGCTATAGGGTTCCTGCCGTTTAAATGTTTCACTCACTGTCAACTGAGTGGATGACGGAGGTTTTACTGACTTAGCGCTGGCTTGCCTTTCATACTCGCCGTATACTTTGATGTGATGAACTCTCAAATGTCGAATTAATTTGTGGTATTAAATTGTCGTTGTTTTGTTCCACCACGGGGGATTTCTGCTGCGCACCTCCTTGCATACCGCTATTTTAATGTCTGTTTCGGACACCTTGAAATATTGCCAGACTGGTGAAGCCATTTTGTCAGTTTATTTTGCCGCGTCCAGAGAAAAAAAGTGTTATGTATTTCACATCATCATTTTACGTCATGCGATCGGCTCTCGCGATCGGCATGTTTAGAGGGCACCGATCGATCGGTAGAGAGTGAATATCAGCCGATATCGATCGGTGACCGATCGATCGAAGCATCCCTACTTTTAACTACACTGTGCGCCAAATGCTACTCCTTCCACATACTTACAGCTAGAGACTTCATTCCAACTTTAAAATGATCACAAGACATTCAGCTATTAAAATCTTATTCAGATTTTTGATATCTTTTACACTTTTTGAGATATTTAACTTAGTTTGGAGCTTGGTAAAGAGGCCTTCTTCAGATGTTAACATTAGTGTGTATTGCGCAGCTTGTTAAGGCTAGAGTGGGCGATGTCACAGCTAGAATGCAGCAGAGCTTG